CATAATTCGAGATTTCGGAATTATATTTGGCAAGTGTATTAAATTGTCGGGAGAAGTTGCGTCGTTTGAATACAATACACGTAGCGCAGAAAGTTGTGACGAAGCCAAATACGTGCTTCTTGCGCCAATGGTAGGCATTTAGCCAGTCCATTTGGTGTTGATTAGTCCATTTGGTGTTGATTAGTCCAGTTGATGAAATGCATCTTGGATAACTTCCTTTGTGGAGTCGAATTTCTTGGATGAAGTTCTCTCGGCATATTGGGTCTGGAATTTCTTCGTTGCGTCTTCCTTTCTCGAACTTTTTCCGTTTCTATTTTTCATCGTAATCATGAATTTCGGCCGCAACTCTACCCCGTTGCATCGAGTTCGACGAGGGAAGTTAAGACATGACGACAACCTCGTAGTCATTCATAGATTTCATGACTTCATTGAACTTGACCTTGGATGAAATGAAGTGCGTAAAATTAGTTGAGGCGACGTTTGCATATTACTACACAACTGTGTCCACATAATATTACCAAAATCTATTTGCCCTACCGCTCTGGCCAATCACACGTCTTGATTTGATGCTTACCAATCATTTTTGGTCAAATTGTTGTTAAATCTTCCCGACGACCGATAGTCGAACCATTCGGTCTTTGCCTGTGTACGATGAGAGCGAATATGATATGATGAGCCTATTTTCATTCGTGCTTAAATCCTGCACTATGTGCAGTGTTGATCAATACTGATTTCCACCAGACTTCTACACGGGGCCCGAAAACAACTTTGACAGAATTACGAAGACACATGTATAAATTCTTACAACTGTATGGCTGTTACGTGTTCACTGAACAAAGACATTTCAGTGCCCAAAATCCCCGTCATTTCCAGGAGTTCACGACCGTCTCTTGCGAATTGGACTGCCAAGCATCCTTGGCCAACGACACCGCTTTCACCAATTGTACTTCGTAGAGGCGATCATGCCGGCCAGCCATCACGGAATCATTATTCGCTTAAGTATATTTTCTAGCTGGCGCTGCTTGACCATGGCCTTGAATGAGACAATCATGTCAGCATCGTGGGCTGGAGATGCGATGCAATATTCTTCGGGAGTATTTGGACTTTGACATTCGTCACCATCTTGTTAATTCTGTGGTACGTAGCCCACCAAGAGCAGCACCCTGCGGCCCTCGGTGACAATGAGTCGATTCATCGCGAATTGAAGATGTGGCAAGTCATCAAGCCCTTCTTACTTGCCTGTTAGTTGAGCCCCAATTCAGCGGCCGACACACCGTTGAAACCACGCGGGCGGACAGTTGTCCCAGCGAACATGGAATCGACAAGGTCTGAGTCATCCGCGTTTGTTGTGAGCGCAAGAGTTATACGTTTTTCGACTTCTTCGCCCCCGGGTCACCGTTACTTGTGATTGAACGGTGAGGGAACAAGCAAGTGAAGAACCCACTATTATCCATGCTGTAGGTGTTGTTGGGATCGTAACCATTTGTCAAGCGAGTTCTTCATCTAATTGCGACCCTCAATGATGGTGAAGGCAGGTTCAGAAATGCTTCTCCATGCTGGATTTTGCTGGTAATTCCGTGTATGACTTCGAATTTGTGTAATCGTCCTTTCGCGAAGGTGATGTGTTTCGATGCCGACATATCCATTTAATCACAAGCTGGTAAAGCGTGCTTTTGATTGAGTTCCCCCCGTATTACTCCCCAACACTTCGCACCGCAAGACCCACTCGATAAAGTACAAAGTTGTTGATCATGCTTTGTTCCTTGTTTGAGTTTTTCATAGTGATTCAAGGAACTCGACACGGGAAGAGGGAATTACTGAATCGAAACATGTCCAAACCACTAGGCAGGACTGAGGGAGCACATGCAGTTTTACCATACGAGAATAATACTACTGTTGTCCTTTGCCGGTGTTCGTAACTGGCCACCGCGTTCGGAGCAGTGGTCTCAAGTTGACAAATCGTGAAGTGGCATTATTCTCGATTTAGAAGTGTTCCCTAAGTCAGCCCCCTTTTGTGGTACACTGACTGCCCGTCAAGGCAAGCAGATTTAGCCAATGAGAACGTACTCCGCTCAAGCATCGGAGGAACGGAGGATTGGATACAAATCCTACCAGCTCCGACTGCACACACAGGGCACGTGCACGTCGGGCTCGAGGCTCAGCTGAGAACACTTCCTCCCCCCATCCTAGAGGGGATGCCCGCAGGCATACTCGACGGCCGCAATTAGGTCACATATACCGTCGTCACTTGCCCGTGCCTTTGCCCAACGACGGAAAATCACGGGAACGTCGACAGGGCCGGCTCCCACGACGATTCGACATCGTCCAAACCAAGCCATTTGACTAGCACCCGCCACTCACCATCAACCTGACGGATGCCACGCAACTCGTCGACATAAAATCCTTCATCACCAAATGCAATTTGCGTCTTGAGATATTCGCCGACATCGCGCCCACCTTCGCGGTACATTTTGAGGCGGCATGGATGGTGCAACGAGGTGCCAAACGGGGGAACCAACTGCTGCACCTCCATCAAGAAGTCAGAAAGCACCTTAACGACACGATACGGTCCGGATCATCGCAGAGACAGTTTGCTGGGGTGCTGGGCGGCACGAGCAGCCAAAACAAAATCACCCAGAGCAAATTTTGAGCTCCACGCGACGTAGGCTACGACGACGGCCACGAGCCTCAGCACGCTTTTTGGCAGCCGACGCCACAGTACTCTTGTGCATCCCATCCTATGCCTTGGCAAGGTTGTGGACATGACTGCGGCACGCTGATTCAAACCAATCGATGGTTTGAATGTCTGGTACGTCATAATGAACTAAACCATGCAATGGTGACGTCGCCGGTAAACCGGTGAACGCTGTAGTCGCCACACCACCAAGTCGATCCGAGGGTTGTAAATTCAAGGCAGACTGTACCATCGGTAGTACTGACAACCACTCGTTGGGTCAGAGGCGCAATTCGCTGCGCAACGCTTTCAATGCGCGGACAATCAACCCGTTGACCACCTCGACCGTGCCGTTTGCCCATGGGCAATGCGGCGTCACAAAATGGTGATGTGAGCCATACACTTTCCGCAAGCGCTCCATCATCTCGTTCTTGAAGTGGGATCCACAGTCGGACACCCATGTCGGTACAACTCCGTAGAGACCAACCCGTTCATCAGTGCGTCAGCCGTAGCTCGTGACGTAGCACTTGCGTTAGCATGCAGTCGAACGAACCCGCTCATGTCATCCTTGATCACCACGAGGTGCTTGAAATCGTTTGCTGCCTCAGGCAATGACAGCCAGTCGAAATGAATCAACTCATTTGGACGCGTCGCATGCAAGGCTCAAGGCTTCGCCCCATGGTCGCGGTATCAAGTCGCCGTCAACCACCATACAATGCATACAATCCTGCACAAAGCTCTTCACATCGGTCTTGAGCGTCGACCACTCAAACAATTCAGCCACCGTAGCAACAGTGGCGTCCACACGTCGGTGTCCGGCCACGCCGGCATGAGCAACGATGCATATGCGCACTTGCAGTTCCGCCGCGTCGTCTAGAATCCACATACGACCCGCGTCGGTCAAGAAGTACTTGCGTACTTCCCACCAATTGTCATTTACGTCATGTTCCGCATGGGCTCCTGGCACGCTCGTGATTTCATCGGCAGTCGGCCAGTCGAACTCTGTCCACTGCAGCGGCGACACAAACGCTAATTTGGACATCCGAGCCACCCCAGCGGCTGAGTAGGTCTGCCCATACGTTGTCCTCACCCGCAACGCACTCAACAACATAGGGATAGGTCGTCATAGTCAATACCCATCGCTGAAGCTTGTGGGCTTGATACTTTGCCATGTTCGAGTTTGTTCCGAGCGGGTTAAACAAACATGTATACGAGGTTCCGGTGGTCCGTGAACAAACGGAAACCGCTCGGACGCACTAGCAGGTACTCGAGGCGCTTACAGGCTTCGACGACTGCAAACGCTTCCTTCTCCACTATCGAACCACGAAAAGCACCACTCAAGAACGCCAACGATTCATGCCGCTACTCAGACAGAGGGCGTGCCAGGTCGTTTTCGGGAACCTGGATCGCCATGGCGCCCCAAAACGCTTCACTCGCATCCGTGTACAGGCAAACCATTTTCGCCGGGTCAGGATGGGCCAGCGGTACGATTTCCGGTACTACGTCTTTGACGCGTGCGAAACACTGCAGGTGCTCGTCGCACCATCCGGCAGACGACAGAGACACTCGCCGCAAAGCGTTTTTCTTTCTCGACACTGCCAATTTTGCCGCCACATCCAACAATTTCGTCAGCGGAGCTACAAGCTCGGTGTAGCACGGGATATTCGCACGCATCCAGTTGCTGGCACACAGAAACTGCTGCAAGTCCGCGGCCGCCTCAGGCGGTCCAAGGTCGCACAAACCTTGCACGCGCCCAGGCGCATGAGCCACTCCATGCTCGGTGACTTGCTTATTCACGAAACGTACGTGAATAACACACACTTGCCCGGGTGTAATTTGAGCCCACAGGACCTGCAAATATCCAAAACACGGCGCAACAATTCCAGCCGGTCCTGAGGCGTGCACGCGTACCCGAGGAGATCATCAAGACATCCGAGCAAACCATGCATGACCAAATCACCAAACAATTCGTCGACGACGCCTTGGCAGTACACGACGGCGTCTGTCTGCCCCATCAAGACACATGTGGGCGAGAACACGCCAAGCGGCGTCATAAAGGAGTAGAATTCTTGGGAATCCGGATGAAGAGGCAACTGCCAGTACCCCTTCATCCAATCAAGCGTAAAGTAGCACGTCGAGCCTTGCAGGACGGACATTGCGACCTCCAGCTTGGGCATCGGCCACGGCATCGGTTCCGTGCACGCATTGATCGGCCGAGAGTCTATGGTCATTCGTAAGTCTCCCGGGTCTATTTTCGGGACGATCCGTGGCGCCGAAGCCCATCGCGACGGATTGTTGCGGTAGAATAGCCCGGCCGACTCAAGCTCGCGCACGTGGTTCTCCAGATACGCTACGTGAGCCGGCGGGTAGCGTCGCAAGCCAGACTTCACCGGGTGCAGACTTGTCGGTGGTTTAGTTTCTGCGTTGCTTGCCGCTGGTGCGACACCCAAGATGATGGATGTCGGCATCATGACGTTGCAGCCGTACGGGGCGAATGCACAACCTGTGCGTGTGACGAAGCAAGTTCGGTTGTCTCGTGTCGAATTTAAGACGGCGCATGGCTGGCTGCTCTTGCGTGGCCTGCGTTCGGGGGTAGACGAATCTGTATCTGCGGTGGAGCTTACGCTCGGCTTTCCTGTGATACGCAAGCTGGGTTACGACGACAAGGGTTTGCTCGAAAACGCGTACCGTCATCATGAGGTCTGGCATTTTGATGATGGCCTGACTGTGACGAC